AGATTTGAGTGTGATTTCAGGCTTATAACCTACCCGGGTTCAGGTTATCAGTAAAATGTGTGGACCTCCTGGGCTCCCTTCTCTGCATTTCCTTTAGAGCAAGATGCAAAGAAGCAGTTCCTGCTTCCTAACATAAAAGGCTGAGCAAGTTCCCATGCCAAGTTTGAGAAAATACACCCTCCAATCCTATACGTGGTCAACTGTCACAAAAAGAAACTCATAGGAACATCCCACGGCACTGTGATGGTTACACGTTAGGTAGAAATCCCTCTGGAACTGGTTGGCTACAATCTCCTCTTCCTCACATCAGTCTGTCTCAGAAGCTATGTCAGCAGCTGTTCCAATAGCCAAAACTCACAAAGCAAACTGAACACATTTGGTCTTCAAACTCTGAGCTTATGAATCAGAACTTCAGTTTAAATTAGAGGAAAATATTCTCCAAATGCACCCCTGCCCCTGAAACGTGTTTTCACTAAGGAAGTCTTGAAAAGTCAGCTGTGCAGAAAGAAAAGCTTTACTCCCTTGCAACGTTCATCTCATCAAAGATGCTGGCCGAGTGCTGCCTGCATCACTTCAGGACAAAAAGAACCATTTGTTAAAATTGTTTGGGGAACTTCTCATTAACTTTGCACCTGTTTGATGGAAACAAATAAACAGAGCCTCTATAAATAAGAAGCTCTGCCAGCAGGTTTAAGAAGTGGTAAGCTCCATCAGTGGAGCAGTAATGAGCATTTGGTGTTGAAGAAGGATGGCAGTAGGTACTAACATCTGCCACGGGCACAGCTGCTTGTGAAGTGCACATTTATCCACACCCAGAGGGAGCACAGCATCAGGTACGCACCTTCCTTGAGCTCAGGAACCACTTCCACAGCTTTGCTGCCCTACTCACACTCAGCAGTGTGCTGTGAATCCCCATCCCCGCTATTACTCTTCTAGCCAGAATAATCCATCAGCTTCACCATCCAGATCCAGAAATTTAGCAGGCGATGGCAGCTCAGGCTAATGAATCATTAATTCTAATTAAAGGATTTGCACTGTTTCCTTTCCATTAATTGTGTAAATAATAAAAAAAATAGCCCTTTGCTGTACATCGGAATCTGCCTGTGGTATTAAAGGCAGCCTCTAAATGTTTTCCTCCAATGAAATGTGCATCACAACAGACTAAAAGGCACCGGGGTACTCACCTCCTGTTAAAAAACAGAGGTCTGCTTTATGTGCACTTTGAGTCCGACAGAGATAATTAGACTGGCAGGGTGATTGCCCTTGTTAAATTGAACGGATGAGAAACACTAATGCTCAGGAAACAGGGGAGATGCATTGTTTCTATTTGCAGCCAGCCTTTCTTCATTTTGCTCATTTGGGCAATGCTGGGGCTCAGAACATGCTCTCCAATATAAACTGAGGAAGCAAGGCATCCATGCTCTTGCCATGCCATGAGACCTCCACAACCAAGCAACACAGCAAACAACCTGTGCCTATCAGCTCCTGGATGTCAAGTAGCACAGCAAAGCATGAGTTTGCAAACTAGAAACTAGGTAGTCTGCAGCACAGAGTAACCATATGAATTCTAGGACATTTTCGGGCATTTTTCAGAGTTGGGTTGAAGTTTGCCTTCTTTTCACATTGGACCAAAACAATCATTTCTTCACTCTGCCAGGAAGAAGAGACTTCAGAAGTAATTCAAGATCTTCAAGGAGTCCTTATAAAACCCTCCGAAAGCTCACAAGGGCAGTTAGAAGTAGAGCTGATTCTTGGCAAGGGCCAGGATCACTCAAGATTACCAAAGAAAACACAAGTTCTATCACCACAATCTCCAAACTTTGGGTCCAGACCACAAGGTCTGCCCATCTCAGAACCTCTTTTTTGAAGGACAGTTTCACCTTCTGATTCCACTGAAGATCATACATGTTCCAGCACAATTCATTGTTCAGCTTTTCTTTTTTTAAATGTCCTGTTCACTAAATGCAGGGATTAAAAAATTCTAAGGAAGTGATCTTCTAGGATTAGGATGGCTGCATACCAAGCGCTAAAATCTCCCTCCTGCCACCTCCCCGATGTGATCACACATCCTTTCAAAAGGAATCATATCTCTATGCATCCCTTAAGCACAATATGTCTCACTCCCCCTGTAGACACTCCAGCAAAAAACCTGTCACCATTACTTCATTTCAAGCCTATTCCAAACCCCAACTTAGTCCACAAATGTCCAAGTTATATCCCTTCTAGGCAAGACTGTGTGGCTTATCACTTAAACACGCATCAGAAGATCTGGTTTCCGTTCCTGCCTCTAACCAGAATCGCATGCAGATAGCTAAACTTCTACTCTCATCTCATCCCTTCAGGTTTCACAGGACAATGTCTGAGTACATGCACAGCACCTACTGCTATACAGGGGTCCCAGTTCCAGCTGGGGAACGTGCACAGTACAGACATTCTTCAGGGTTGGGTTGAGATACTGGAGCTTTTGGAAACAGTGCATCCTGTGAAATTTGCTGGTAGAATTATGATTTCAGATTGAATTCTCCCAAGCATATGCTCCAAACTTCACTGACTGCAGTACAAGTTGTTCAAACTCACATTGGCATTAATGGAAAGGACATTATCCTGTTATCATTTTTCCTCCCTAAGCATTCAGAAAATTAAAAGTATGTCATATACACACTCATATACACACTCATATATTTGTTAAGTACCTGCCAATGAATGAAGCACAAGTATCCCACACTGAAAGCAAATCCAGAGCTGTCACAACTTCCACTGCCTCCATGAATTCTGATGGTAAACAGGGCATCCCACAGTCAGCATTTGGACTCAGAAGAACTAAGAGCAGGTGAGAGTTGGAATCAACACCTCTGAGGTCATCACAGCCTTAGGAAGATCTAGACAGAAGATAAAACTCAAACCCAACACTGAATTCTATGCCAAAGTTCAAAAACAAAAAAGGAAAAGCATATTATGACTGCCTTTCAGGACTGCCTCAGTACATATCTTTACAAAGTGACTCATCTAGTTACATGCACAAAACGATAAACATTTTTTCAGTGCTTCCAGAAGCCAAAGGGAGTCAAAGCAAAGACTCTGCCAAGTCAAACAGCTATTGAGTCAGACGTGAAGGTGGCTGTCACCAGGCTTCAAACACACTTAGCGTCAGTGTTCCCAGCTCCCTGCATGAGTTTTTAAAAAGTAGGCAGTTCTTCCAGTTCGGGCAAATCATTCTCATTGCAGAATTATAACCCACCCTAAAAAAAAAGAAGTCTTTCACGTAAGAAAAATAAATGCTTACAAGCAGAGGCTGAGAGAACTGAAATTGTTTAGCCTCAGGATAGGGAAGGGGAAATCTCACCCATATGAATGAGTAAGTGATGGAAAGGACCACGGAAGATGCAGCCATGCTTCTGTGCTACACAGTGACAGATAGCGAAACATGGGAAATTCTATTTAAAGACAAGGAAAAAAAATCATAAGGCAAAGCTTTTTTGCTGAGAGGCTGTCACACACTGGAACAGCTTCCTTAATAAATCGCATTTCTGTTCCAGAAGAATTATATTCTCATTGTGAGCTGAAACAAAAAAGAATGTGATGTGAAAGCCGGAAATCTGTCTTGGGGAACACAAGAACTTCATGTTGGTTGGGATACAGCAGGGTAACATAACCAAAGCCTGCTCTGTAAAGCCACCTGTTTGACATGCGAGTTCACTGTGGTCAAGTTCAACCCAACGACGATATTCTTTACACTGATTTACAGCAGTATAGCTGTAAAATGGCAGGGCTAGATTCCCTAGCATTGCACTCAAGAAAATCTGTTGTAATTCCACAGCACAAAAACAGAATTGGTGGTTAAGGCCGAAAGCAGGGTGTCAGAATTTTCCATCAACAGAAATACTGCTTCTTTCCACATCACAGCTTTAAAAAGAAAAGGCTTATAATCATGTAATAAAAAGAGAAGGTGGTTTTCACCAGGAAAAACTCCTTCCTTGGACTCCTGCCATAGCACATGCTGTATATTAGGAAATCATTTGAAATATTAGAGTGGTTTATCCTGGATATTTGTATAGACATTGAGCTCAAGACAACTTGCTGGCTATTTGTGCCAAGTTCAGCTCTGCAACAGCTCCCTGGAGAGTCTGCAGGGCTGAGAAGGGGGGGGAAGCACAAAGAAAAACTGCTGCTTTGAAGGAAAGAGGGAAAGATAGGGTCAGAGAAAGGACAAAAAGACCAAAGGATCTTCCCTTTCCACAGCAGTCTTCAAAGCTTAAGAGGTCACAGCTTTTAACAAAGCCTCTGGCTTTCTAAGCTAACAAGAGATTTCATCTGAGGCTATCTTCTAACCCTAACCCTTACCCATCCCTTCCACTGTTCACAAGGGTAAGATTGTCCCCAGCAGTTCAACACCCTCATTTCATTCAAGAGAAAGAACAGCTGTCTTCTACCCCGTTTTCTTGACCAGCTCCCAGGGTGATCAACAAACTGAAACACGGAAAGCCCTGTCTGTCTGAGCATCAGTTAGTGCAAATACTGCATACTACCTCAAATTCAGTTCTGTTGTACGAGTCATGGTGACCCAAATTCAGACTTGGTACACTGCCAGATCTATGTACTGAATGGATTGGCTGCCCCTAACTCTGCTACACCTATTATGATGTTACTGTCCAGAGTCACACATAATGTAGAAAAGGAAAATACACACGAGTGACCTGCACTGTCAGCATAAAATACACAGCAACAGCACAGCGCTTCATAATAGCAAGGAAAACAGAGAAATACGATACTTTTCTGAACAGGAAGCATTTGTTATAATTATTAATGCAAGGATTGAACGTTATTACCATAATGCAACTCAAGATGCATCTGAACAGAGCCCCCTGAGGGAAACAACTTGATGTATGTTTACAATCAAGCATGCTAGGGAAACAAAAGGACACTTGAACTAAAGAGATATATTTATCCACACAGTAGTTATAATAAGGCATAAGAAGAGCATCTACTACATAAATCATCACCTTTCTAGGAACGCAGTCTTCACCTTCAATAGCAGATCAGACAATCTCAATTTATAGTAAGGTCAACTCCTATAAAGAGAGAATAAATAATTAATGGCTGTTACAGATGAGAGTAGTGCTTCAAAGGCACATCAACAGCAGTTATTGGAGGGGGTTACAATCAACTTGAAGCCCCGCAGAACACGTACTCGTTTGCTCAAGTATTTATCATTTATTGAACTATTGATATCATCTGCAATCACACTAACAGCCTGAGCAAGGTCTAGATCTCGACAGGGATTAGAATGGGGAACTCTCAAGCATAAATACTGGGCCTCCATTCAGGTAGAAGAGCTGGGATATCAAGCTTGATTCTTGCTATACCTTTCCTGATCTGGCTCCTTCACATCCTTGCTCCACATCACACATCCACATTTCCCTACAGACTAGAAGTCTTCTTTCCATTTGAACACTCTTGTGCATTCTGTTCAGGACACAATCACTGTGTCAAAACATGTCAGCACATTATGATATATCTGAAAAATTAGAAGTGCTAAAAACGTTAGTGAAATACATTTGAATTGGTGAAAAGCAAGCTGCAAAGCCAGAGTGATTTGTTTTGACAATACCTCCACCTGAAACTTTATCTAAGCCCACATCCTCCTGGGAAATGTTTAAATTCTGACAAAAACATGTTTTCCAAAGAGAAAAAAACTGTCCGTACTCAAAACATTTGTTTAGCTACTGCATCAAGCAGAGCTGGAACAGGCTCCCATCGCGTGCTTTGAGCTGTTATTGTCACCTACACAGTTTTGCTTGCCATGAACCTAGGGAGGCAAGCAATGACCTGAAGGTTCTGGTCCAGCATATTGCTGCCATTTGCCCATTATTTTCCTTTCATGCTCCAGCACATCAATCTCTGTGCTCTCCAGACGTTAACACCTGCATCTCCTGAAAACTGGTAACTCACAGCTCCCTCAGTGCAAACAAACATGCTCATACCACTTTTCAGAGGAAAACTAACTGCTCTCTAACCCTCTAAAAAGTGCTAAGTCAGAAGAAAACTGAATGTAGTGCACTGATCCAAATTAGCATAGGTACATGACAGCTTGTGTCAGTCTACCTCAATAAAAAGGTTTTCCTCACAACACGGTGAGGGCTTCATCAGGTTTTTAACTCTATTAATAGAGTTCATTAGTTAAAAAGATTCATTTAGTAGGATGAGGGGAATAGCCCTAAGTGCTCTCCAGGCTGGAGGAAGTCTGTAGGCACCATGAGCATTAAAACATATTAAGCAGCGCGAGCCCAGGAGCCCTCTGGAGTTCTGACAGTATTACTTTTAAATTAGAGATGGGAAATTTTCCCTATTGAAGCTGGACAGAAAACAGCTGTGCTCATTAAAAGAGGAGGAACTGCTAAGTAGTTATACAATCAACACTATGTAATTAACAGAGAATTATAATAGTAGATCTAGGACTGTGCTTTAGTTATGTGCAGGCAGAATGCTAACAGCTTTGCAGTCTGCTGCCTTTTACGTTGCTCCTCTTGTTCAGCTGCATTGCACAGGGTACAGATCCCAAAATGCTGCTGAGCTCCTCTGCCTCATGCTGCAACTGAGACCAGGGTTCTCCATGCCACAGTGGTGAGAACTCTGCTCAGAGGGGCTGGCTCTTCCAGCCTGACATCAAACGTGAAAATGTCTGCCCTGCATTTTAAAGGGAGTGTCAGGCAGTTACATAAAGCTACCACCAAGCAAGAGAATGAGGAATGAGGAACACATGCTCCCCCCTCAAATTTCTACGTGCTCCTGGCCATAAGAGCACACTAAGCAATGTGAGAGAAGCCCTGAAGCAGTCCTCTATTTAGATCCAGGGTGACTGTGCTTGCATGGAAAATCTGTCTCTATTAGCCTGAAAAATCGCATATGCAGGTGAAGACAAGCCTCGCCTCTGACAACTGAGGGCAATACACACCAGTACCACAGTGGCCACGAGAGTCAAACCCAACAAGCAAACCAACAAGACCTACTACCTCATGTCATTTCAGACTGGAGTTCTGCAATAGCTGGAGAGCATCTCACACAAATTCACTCCGTCAGCAGACAGGTTTAGCTATGCCATTATCGCTCAGTGGAAACCTTCAAAGTTTTGGGAGATAAATTGTTGGTAACTCCCAACTACGCACGATGCCCTGCTGCTTCATCCCGCCATCCTCCATCTCCAGCTGCCCCACGGGGCAGAATTTTCCTACTCAACATCAGGCATCCAAAAAGCCAGAAGGAATCCCCGCATGCTCTGGTGCTGCACGTTTACCTCTGCAGAACAGAAAATCCTGCACAGGAGAAACACAGCATTTTCAAGTGCAACACATTCAAGCTTTCTGGGATTCAGCATTAGGACTCTATGAGCTTGTGCGCTGCCAAGATGAGCAGAAAATAATACTAATTATAGTTGATGGAATCAAAAGGTACAGCTGCAAGTCCACAAACTGCTGACATAAGAGATCATCAACAATGAAGACTACTACTGAATCACTATCAATGCTTTTAAGTCATCCACTGGTGTATATATTTATAAATAAATTTCTCTTTCCCATTATCCCAGCAAGCAAATTCTTTTCTCTGCCTGGATTTGGCACCCATGGGATATATAATCACCAAGTTATTAAATGTTTTGGTCACATTTAAACACAAATCCACCGGAGGCATCTTCCCTGGGTTTCTTAAAACAGGACGGCTTCAATCGCCGCTGTACAAAGAGTTCTGGTGGCACGTACATTCTCCAGTCTCAGACTTAAGCATTCTCAGAATTGGGAAGTCTCTTGGGCCTGCCTCTTCTCCTCCTCCTCTCCTTCCTGCCATCTCTACAGAAATGGGAAATTGAGATTTTCAAGCTCATTCATCAAACAGCAAGTAGGTAATAAATCTAATCTCCAAGTCCTTATTTCCCAGTCATCTTTAACCACTAGATGACAGTACTTCCTTAATTAGCAGTTCAATTCCCAAGATTTCTGAGAACTTCCAACTCTTGTTGGCTCCAGTTGGAATTCTGGATGCTCAGGAGCTCCAGGAATCAATTTCTAACTATAAAAGAGACAAAAGCGTTCTATGCATTTAGAGCCACGTTGCAAAGTTTTCTCCCAAAATTTTCCCTTTTCCACTTATGACAAGAAATTGAAGGTCCTAATTCTGCAACAGGACCTGCCATGTCACGTATGGAACCACAGCACAGCTCTGAAGTCTTGACCTAGCTTTAGCGAATGGGATACAAAAACTGGATGTAGAATCGCTGTTACTCTGTGTGCTTATTTTTAGGGTCTACTCAATAACCAGTGTCAACATTGCCATAAAACAAGTGCCACAAGATGCATTAAAATGCAGTTTTTCAACTGCTTGCGGATGGGTTTAATGATGAGGATTGGACAGACTATTTTAGCTTCCCATATTAAAATAAAATTACGCATTTTATTTTATACTTCAAAAACTTCTTTTTTTCCCCTCTTTTCCTCAAGGCATTTTTTTTTTTTTTTTAATTGCTTCTGGAATAGCACATTATCATTTAACCCCCTTGTTCAGTCTCATTTTCCACTTTCTCTATTTTCACACACAATTGAACTGACTTAAAGCAAAATGGAATTTATTAAGCCGAAGACAATGTGGGTAATCAACATAATGCAGTGTCTGCTAATCCCTGGTTACTCCATTTTTTTTTTTTACTGTTTATTCGACTTTTGGTCTACAATGTTTGGAGCAGAGAATATGGATTTTCTTCACTCAGAAGAGTCATTCAATTAGAAAATGTGTGCAATACTGTGCACGCTGTATGCCCTATGTACCAGCACAGCACTTGATAAGAGGACTATCAATCAAACGCATGCGAAGAGCTCAAATTTTCAAGGCTCTGAATATTCTTTTACCAATCAGTTAAAGCAGCAACTACATGGGTGCTATGTAAGCATACCTAGCACAAGCTTGGTCAAAGGGTTGTAATTATTCATTCCAAGAAGACCACACAAGCTCTTGCTCATATATGGCTGCCTTTGCATAGCAATTTGTTTACACACAAAGACAACCTGCACAGCAAAGGGCTTGCAATTCTGAATTTCCATCTCAAGAACAGCCCACAGTGTGATTTATCACGCACACTTTGCTTCACACCATCCAGCCAACCCACAGCACTGCCACCTCAAACACATCAGCAGCATTCTGGGATGCATGGAACCTTTAATGTGAGGAGCTCTATGGGAAAGATGCACAGGCACTCACAGCACAGTCCTGTTACTTTACTACTTCAAACTTATGCTGCAGTAGCAATTAGCTTTCTACAATCTAAATATTGCAACACAGAGAAGAAAACTGGTAGCAAACAGGCTTGTCTTCCAAGAATAACAAAAATAAAATAAGCACTAACTTAAAAGATACGGATAAGAGCTCAGCATCCCATCCTGTTTTCTTCAGTATATGTGAGCAAAGGTCAGCTCGCTCAGAATTCCACCACAAAGCTCAATATTAGCTTTCAGAAACATATGTAAGGCCAAACACGGAACTCCAAGCAAAATCCTCCATGTGGCCAATTTCCTCAGGTTAAGGCATTAACTCTCATTCGAACAGGCAGACATCTAACCCAAATTATTACTATTCTGTAGTCGCCCAGATACCAAATTACAAACAACAGATTCAGTCACCTGCATAATTGACAGAAAATTAAGAACAGCTCTTTTACAAAAGCACATCTGGCTACAGAAGCCAACTGCTTTCTGTAATGCAGGGTGGTCAGTTTGTACAGGATAAACAAGAAACGAAACTGAAACATTTTACTAAGCATGTCCTCGTGGAGCTATTTAGTCCTTTGTTAATTTAAGAAACCATATTTCTATTTGTATTTAATTTCATTTCTAACTGACATCCATTAGGCTTTGTTTGGCTCTCTGTGTTCTCCATTTAAAAGAATCCAGAGCAATGCAAGTAGCATTAAAAAATAAAGATAACTCCACACATTGTATGCTAAACAACGATGGAATTGAGTGTGCTCTCAGCAAGTTTGCTGATGACACTAAGCTGAGTGGTGCAGTTTACACAGCAGAAGGAAGGG